TGACCGCAGGGGCAAGGCCAGGGAGAAGGCAGTGGTAGAGGTCACCGGCGAGCCGATCCTTTCCAGTCGCTGGCCTCTGGATCTGTCGATCCCTTCCCTGAGATCCTGGCGATTTTTTTTGATTTCACAACGGGCGATGTTGTCCTGTTTCGGGCCCTGGGGCGCTGACGGATCGCTCCGGCTCTAACAGTGGTGCAGAAAGATGGTGTCCGGAGCTTCGGTCGAGGTTTTCTACGCTGTTGGATTTTTGCGTGACGTCGGATCTCAGGACTGGCCTCTGGACCTGTCGACCCCTTCCTCAGGACCGGTCTTCTCATGCTGTGTCGTTTGTCGAGTGCCTTGGGGCCCCGGAGACCAACCCTAACCCTACAGGCCGAAATAGCGAGCAGTATCCGGCGCGCTTTTTTTTTGTACGGGCAAGGCGACAGAACCATATATTTTCGGGGGTCGCGTCGCGTGGCGTGGAGCGCGCCGAGGGCGTCGCCAAGTCAAGAAGCCATACGCCCAATGGCGCGTGGGCAGGACAGACGCGTTGCGCTGCATTGCGACGCAGGAAACGGAGCGCTTCACGACTGTGAAGCAGAACAGCAGAGCGCATCACGACTGTGAAGCAGACAATGCACGCGCAGAGGGGGAGGAGGGAGGAAAAGAAAACAGCGAACTACACGCGGGATGCCGAACCTCATGAATTGCCATGTTGGGGTGCCGATAACTGCACAACATCGTTTATCCCACTTAGTGGGACATATGGTTTATGAGCGCAGAGCTAACCTACTCATGTTTCAGGAACCCTTTGGTCCAGACCTCCCGCCGAATTTCATCAGAATCATTCGTCTACGCCCACGAATTCTGGAACGAAGCAACACCATTGTTGTTTGCGAGCGACGCACTGGAACAGATCATAATCATTTTCAAACATGCTTCGAGTTCTTATATAAAAACACTTCGCCCAATCGTGTCTGGGGCGTCCGACTTTCCTTGCAAGGAAATCGGTGATCGGTCTCATGCTGCCCAGCTGGAAACTTATTGTTTGGAGTACGTTTGTGCCGTTGCTGCGCCCAAGTATACCAAACCCAACGGGTTGATGCTAAAGTAGTTGTGCGCTGTACGGTGTAGCCCGCGTTTGTTATAGCACACTTTGGTTGGACACCCTCGAAATATAAGAGTGTGGAATGTTCAGAGCATGTCGAAGGCAGCGCGCGTGGAACCCGTCTAATCGTCGTCTGCCGCTCTCGTCTAGCCAGACAGAGTTCAAATAATACATAACTTTCGTCGTACTCAATGCTCCGGATACGTTCAGCTTTCGTTTTTTATACTAATGGACGTGTGCTTCCAAGTCCTTGAGTATGTTTGATATTCCCCACAAGCTGCCCCAAGCCTTCTGCCTAACTCTTGCTTTATTTTGCCGGATCTCTAGATGGCTGCCCCCAGGTAGTTAATTTGTTCAGTGGCCAGAATGATATTACCACTTGGGTAGTTGGATGTCGCAGCCTATTTGCACCAGTTGAGGTTTTCATTCCAATGAAGCTTCATTATCTTTTCTGCTCCTGCTTTTTCAAGTGCGTCTAGCAAATTCTGAAATTGACCTGCGTGCCGTCCAACCAAGAGTGTCATCATCGCGCACTAGGATAAACAAATCCCCAGCAGCAAGTGCATTTCCTGGCGCCTCGTCCAACGCATTCTCTGCACTTTTGATAACCAAATTTGTCACCATCACAAACATGAAGAGCGATAGAGAGCAACCCTGTGCAATTCCGGATTGTTGGTATATGGTGCTTGATTTCTGTCGCTTGTCTGCCAAACAATAGCGCTCGTTTTCGTGCGTATATATAACCAATGAGAGAAAGCATGTGTGGAGGTACTCCACAAATGCGCCATGCGTCCAAAAGGGCCGTCGCGTTGATCGAATCGACCGCTTTCTTCCAGTCGAGGGCGAGCATGGCGACTGCACATCCCCGTTCTGCGTGAGATATTTCGAAATGTCTGCGCACAGCGTGAATTGCGTCGGAGGTGTCCCTCCCTCTCCTGAAACCAAATTGTGTTATTGTTGATGGTCTGTTTTCGGCCCTGGTTTCTTACAATTTCCCCAGCAATAGCGTTGCCAATAGCCTTTAAATAACGCGCAGCAGACTGATAGGGTGGTGATTGTCGCATTGGTCGATCGGACCTTTGTTCTTGTAGACGGCAGTCACATCAGCATGTTCACATTCCGTCGGCACTTGGTTTTCCTTCCAACATTTGTTTACCCATGCAGTAATACATGCTAGTCCTGTAGGGTCCTTTGCCAAAGCCTTCCAAAACTCTGCTGGTATGTTGTCTGGTCCGGAGGCTTTCCCCCGTCTTAATTTTGATTTTGCGTGGGTCTCCTCGTCAGCCAATGCGGCCGTATCCGTCTTTGCGTGGTGTTGTCTCGTGTCGGGGGGCATCCCCAGCGTCATAGTGCAGGTGGCAAGGAAATAGTCAGTAGCCAGTGCTGCACCCCGCCAACTCCGAAGCGACTTGGTAGAATCTAGCGCGCCCGGCGTGCACAAGAAGCGATCAAATATGTTATGCGTGAGCTTGTCTATTGGAGCTTGAGCGGCTATCCCGGTTTCTCTGAAAGTCATTCCAGATTCCAGATATTGTTGTATTCACGTGTCTGCAATAACCAAACCTATCCCAAAGAAAAGTCCTAAGAGTAAATCTCTGTTGGGTCTTTCCACTTCGCGCGCGGCCTCCCGCCCCCAGCCATGCAATCTTATTACTTCATCTTCACCAGGACATGTTCGGCCCACTCGTGCATTCAGCCCACCGAGTACTACTTTGCCGTAGTTCGCATAGCAGGAAGGATATTTTTTATCAAGCGTGTTGGAGAAGTCGATGTGTGCATCTGTCGGTCGTAGCTTGTGAGGCGCATACACCCCAAGCATGCCAAGCGTTTGATCTTGCACGCGCAAGTTTAAGGTACGAATCATGTCAGAAACCTGTTTGTATGATTTAACATATCTTCGCATCGGTGGTGCAATCATCAACTCAATTCGAGCCAAAGTTTCACCACCGCAGTCGGCTCCTGCTAGAATCATTTGGTAGTCATGCTCAACATGCACTTCAGCTTTCGGTTTCTTGGTTTCCTGGATTCAAAGCACGTCAGTACTATAATTGACAATGTGTCATGAGTTGTTTTGATTTTTGTAAGCCCTCTTACGTTCCAAGTGCCAAATGAGATAGACTGCGTTGCTCCAGCACGTGAAGAAGTGCAAATTGTCGAAGTTCGCGGAGCTGGAAGTGGTGAAGCAGTCGGGACGTACGTATTTTTGCCCTGCCCGGGTGCGTGGGTATTCCAATGCCTGGTCGTGATAATTTTGCCCTCGCCTGGCTGGTCGAAAAAGGAGTCGTCAGAATCAAAGTCGGTAGCATCGGCGTTGGTGCTGGTGAGGGTCAGCACCTGCCGTGTTTCATATTAACTTGCCTTTGGATGCGGCCTTCACTCCGAGATGCTCTCTCTGCAATTCCATCGCAAGCCGCCAATAGTTGTTTGAAGTCCGGGTGGTCGTGAAGCTCTATCCATTTGTCCCAATGGTTTGCCCATATCTTCTTGATGGTTTGTCCATCAATGTGTACTGTGAGGTCGATTTCGCCTCCCACCTCCACCGTGTAGTGATTTTGGTTTGTAACTCGAATGATATACTCGATGTCCAGTGTGTTCTTGAGGAAGTACTTTAAGCCAGCGCAGAGGTTGCGAGCTGCTCGGACTTGCGGCTGGCGATACGGGGTGTACCACACTATTTTGTTATTGCGGTGCAGTTTCGCGCTCCGGATTTGCGCCACTGCTGTACCTTGGGCCTCTATGGTTTCGAATTCGCAGTAATCATGTTCTCGAACTTGCCTTTCGAATATCTGTTCGTGTATCCTGGAGCCCCCATTCAACTTCTGAAGCTCCGCCTCCAACCATGTGGAATCATCTTCGAGAGAGGGGAAGCCATCGAGGTTGCCGATCACCGCAGTGATGTTTTTCTTGTTCTCGCCATCGCCTATAGGTTTGTTTTCTGGCGCCCGAAGACGGGCAACTTCACGTTCCAGTCCTGTGAGCGTCGCATGCGTATCGGTATCCACGGACGCTCTGGATGCAGACCGTGCCGAGGGCGGCCGGGAATAATGATTTGCTTATGGTAGGCTTTCTCGTTTGGTTAGTTTGTCGATGTCTTTCTTGATCGGGTTCACAGCGTCTTCAAAATATGTTTGTGATGCACCATGTGTTTTGATGGCTTGTATGTCTTGCTTGATGGGGTCTAGGTGGTGGTTCAAGATCATCTCCAACCACTTGGCGGTCAGGGGCTGGTCCTCTGCAGCCTCCACGTGTTCCTGAAAATTTTTGTTGTCGTACTGCTAGTGCTCCAGGATGCTGTGCCAACGGTTGTTGCTCTTGTGGTGGGTTGCTCCTCGTCCTAGCCTGTTTGAGCGCGTTTTTGTTTTTTTGAGTACCCATCTGCTGTTTTTTTCCCCGCCAGTATCTTTACGAGGGTGGTGAGAGACACGAGCACCCATGAATACTCCATATCGGTGGGGCAGGCGTATGCGTATGTTGGAGAAGTGAAGGAAGTGTAAGCAATTGTAAGAAATCAAGAGACGAAAAAACACCTGGACCCGATGATTGGCGTTTACTAGACGGCCCTGGGCGTTTACTGAACAGCCTTGCCCTGTTCGATTCCTTCTTTTTGGCCGCCGGAGGCGCAGAAGCCCTGCGTGGAGGGGATCCCGCAGGCAACTGGCAACCCAGGCGACTGGGCGCAACTACGGCTGGGACTCTCTGGCCGAAGCCAGGCGAGGGCTGGCAAACCCGTGGCTGCTAAAACGGAGCTCCGGGAAGTTGGTGATTTGTTCCTGGAGGCAGCCCGTTTATTATCTGGCGCGCCGGGTTTTATTCCGGTGATTGGTTTTTCTCTTCCGGGAAGACCGTTTTAGCAGCCACGGATTTGCCAGCCCTCGCCCAGCTTCCGAATCTGGCCGAAACCTAGTGGGTAACAGGCAACCCTTGCAGCAAGAGGCAACTTCTCCTACGGCCATCTGGCAGCTCCGATCACCTGGGACTACGAAGACCGAATCCCTGTGTGCCAGACCCTACAGGGCAACCGCTCATCCTCGCAGCCAAGGACAGCTACTCATCCTGGTGCCCTACAGGCGGGAACAAATGGACAACCGCCAACAAGCACAAAACGAGGCAAATAGTCGTGAGGGTGAGACTCAGTAGGCGCCGCCATGTCGGCAGTGGCCTCGAGGAGAGAAGCTGGAAATCCGCGCGGACCTCTGATATGACAGGTTCGTGTCGTGTCGACGCGACGGAAATTCCGCCGCGGGTGTTCAAGGTTGAGCGCCGCCAGTGTCCCAGAATCGGCCACTGGAAAGATCTGGCGATCGGAAAGCCGCCGATGGTTCAAGGTTGAACGGCCCATGCGGTGTCAGAAACTCAAGCCAGTGTCGCCAGGACACGAATCTGCCGTAGTTTGCATAGCAAGCAAGACAGAGATGCGCCCAAACGGCGCAAAGGCGGTAAAGGACCCTTTGAACTACACATACTAAAAAGCTACGCGCAGGGGTGGCGAGGAGGACACGAGGGTTCGGTAGCAAATCATGGGAGCCTTGTATCCCGTCTCAAGTCCGTCTTCAGAGTGCACTGGCTTCGATTGGCGTCGGGTAGTCGATGAGATTGCGCCGACTTAGCATCGACTCGAGTCGATTTGCGTCGATTGGCGTCGATTGGCGTCGATGCGCAAGAGCCAACACGATGGTACGGGAGGTTCCCATGATTGGCCGCAGGATCAGGGAAGCGAGATGCAGAAACGATCAGAAACACACGCACAGCCCACTGTAGCCTCAGGCGCCCGCGCATGCGCTTGCGGTCCCACTGCAGCTTCGGTTTTTTTCGCTGGCGCCTGACGCTTGCGCTTGCGCTTGCGCTTGCGCTTGCGGTAGTTAGCCTGCATGAAGTACGGGCGGGTACGTTTGCATAGCGTGCCGCTCCGCCGGCTCTGGCCCACCAGGCTGCGGCGCCACACGTTCTCCACTTTCGCGGTCCCCGGGCGTCCATGCCCCCAGCTTCTCCCCGCTCCCCGCCACGCTCGCGCGTGGCGCCACACGCTCGCCGCTCGTCTGCGGCATACACTCGCGTGCCGCCGGGGCCGCCGGGGGCGGCGTGCCATATAAGCCAAAGTGTTCGACCGCCCGATCGGGCAGCCCTGAGTCATCACCCACCAAACCACCCCAACCCAACCCGAAGGCTCAAATTGACCCTCGATTTCCAGTGGGGGGGGGGGGTCCGGAAACATCGAGACAGCACATGTGGAGCCCTTTACCCCCCCCCCAACCCGAAATGCGGGTCTTCGGGTTGGGTTGGGGTGGTCTGGTAGGTAGTCACTGCGAGGTCAAGGCGAAGCGGAAGGCGCCCCAGCTCTAGACCCAGACCCCCGACGTCGTGATTTTTTCACAACGTCGACCCCCAGAAGTCTGGACCCTTTCCCCGGGACCGGCTCTTCGTCCGGAGTCGTTTTTTGACGGCCCCGAGGCCCGGTGAGGGCCCCCGGAGGCCGAAAATAGCAAAAAACCTCCCGTCGTGATTTTTTCACGACGCCAGGAGGTCTGGGGAGAGGTCAAGGAGAAGCGGAAGGCGCCCCAGCTCTCGAGCCTGCTGACCGTGAAGCGCCGGGCCGCGGGCGCCGGGCGCGCCGCGGCCGCGGGCTCGGGGCCGCCTGGGCCCGGCAGCGCCGCCGCGGGAGCCGCGGGGGCCGCGGGGCCGCCGGGGCCCCAGGGGGCGCCGCGGGAGCCGCGGGGGGCCGGCGGGCCCGAGGGTCCGAGGGGTGAGCCAACGGAGGCCTCCTCCTCCTCCTCCTCCTCCTCCTCCTCCCTCCTCCTCCTCCTCCTCCTCCTCCTCCTCCTCCTCCTCCTCCTCCTCCTCCTCCTCCTCCTCCTCCTCCTCCTCCTCCTCCTCCTCCTCCTCCTCCTCCTCCTCCTCACACGGACGGCATGTAGTCGGTACCCACCACCACCCACCTCCTCCTCCTCCTCCTCCTCCTCCTCCTTCTCCTCCTCCTCCTCCTTGTCGATTCCTGATGCTCGATCCTCGACCCCGGCTCCTCGGTCCTCGGCCCTTGGTCCTGCATTCTTGTTCCTGCACCCTCGATCCTGGATCCTCGCCCCCGCCTCGATCCGCGCGGAGCTCCAGCAGTTTGGGGTCATGCAGTTAGCTGTTCCTCTCCGAGATGCCCGCTGGGGCTGCCGAGGGGGTGGGGAGCGCAGGAGCGAGTGCAAGAGTGGGTTATGTCTGGCCGAACCTGGCGTTCGAGTGGGTCACAGGTGCCCTAAATGGTATACGGTCGGGGACGTTTGGATAGCGCGTCGTTCCGCCGGTTCTGGTCCACCGCGCTGCGACGCGACACGTTATCCACTTCGCAGTCCCCGGGCGTCCATGTCCCCAGCTGTCGCGAGTCTTCCGCCACGCGGAGCGTGTCGACACGCTATCCGCTCGCAGGGCATAGCGTGTCGCCAGGGCCGCCAGGGCGACACGCTAAGAAAAGTTTCCCGACCGTAAGGGGCTGTAGGGGGCTGAGGAGCGAATGCCACTGTGAGGGGATTACAGGTGGCCCTAGATGGTTCATATGGGCGTTAACGATCCTGGCTAGTGGGCTTTCCACACTTAGCGGAGCTACCTGACCCCACTGAACCATTTGGGGTGCTTGTAATCCACGCGTGCGCTAAGTGAGGCCAGATGTAGCCCACCTTAGCAACCACTTCTAAATGCCCTATTCCCTTAGCAACTGCCGCGATCATCTCGGCAGACC